TTAACGAAATGGGGTACGAGGATCACAAATGGAGGGATCTTGCTCAGGGACGGGAACAGTGGCGGGATTTGGTATTTGCGGCAATGAGCTTTCGAGTTCCTAATGCCTAATAATAATAATAATAATTTTAAGTTATTAATTTTTTAATTATTTTTATGTATATACTACTAAAAAGGAGAAAATGCAAATATGTTGATACAATTGATTTTAAGTAATCAGTGCATTTAATTAGAATTTTTCATTTTCTTTCAGCTGAACCATTTATTGAAGCTGGTTTCGCAGATGCACCTCAGGGTACAATATTACTAACAGTAGAAGTCGGGGACAGGGCCTTGTAAGTATATAAAATATTCATACTATTGCAATTGCTATTTTTATATGAATTATGAGCATATATTATGTAATAATTGTTATGTGTAATAACGTAAAATATATATAACATGTACCGTATATGTATAGATGTCATTTTAATTACCACAGGAAAATGTTTCAAACTGAAATTGGTCTAAAGGGATAATAGTAGTATATAGATAATATAGATAATAGTAAAATGATAAAATCAATTTTTTATCAAGTCATATTTTTATGGCCACGATCAAGGTTATGACTATTTTTCAAGTGGAATTGTGTGATTATTTTACATATGGATTCTTCTACATTTTTATATGCAGAATAATTAGAAGAATCATTATGAGGAAAAAATCATATAATTTCATTTAAAAAAAAAAGTGATTTTATATGACCGTAAAAAAACGACTTTCTTGAAAATTTTATTATTATTTGTCTCCCTTTAATTTATAAAACTTTTGTCTGAAACGTTTCTCCGTATCTTTCATACTTTTCGAGATATTTACTTACGATAATTAAGATAGAATACATCGTATAATATAAAAAAGGAAGTTCTAAAATATCTTTTATACACTTTCCTAGCTGGAAAGATCCAAATTGTCCATTCAGGACAGATCGTTGTACCAGGTTGAAGGTCTTGCCGACTCTAGTTAAATGGAGGACTGAGAAACGTTTAGAGGGTGATCAGTTACTGAATCCTGACCTTATCGAAATGTTACTGTCAGATGTAGATGCAGACTAAAGATATTTGTAATATATATTTATACATTTCTTTTTATAAAAAATACATATTGAATTATAAACATAAATTACATTTTCACGTACGATCATTGTATATCCATTCTTTTTTATAATTATTGTATTATCCTTTTTACCCTACTTTGAAAAAAAATATCGGAAATACAAATAAAGATTACTTAAATTTAACTAATATTTATTTTTTATGCATTTGTATGTGTATATATGCTATAATTATATTGTAATAATCTACAATCTTTTGAGCAATAAGGTAAGAAAGAGAAATATCAAATAAACAATCAGTTGGACTGTAAAATCTGTAAATTACAAAGAATTTACTTTATATCTATATTTACTATGAAATTGTGACGTAACATCCTTCCGAAATTTTAGTTTGATCTTACAAGTATGAAACACGAAAAATTAATATAATTGTAAATTTCCTAAAAGGATTCATTTTATTACATAATTGGTGCCACTGGTGTTGGTGGTAACATACGTACGGAATAATGAACCTTCTTATTCCTTAGAATACTGTAGGTATTGTCGAAAACGACGTAATCTGAAATAAAATTTAAACAATAAGAATCTTATTGGACCGTATTTGTGAATAAAATTTAGATAACAACGTCATTATTTGTAGAATGCTGCTCAAACAATATGGGCTTACAAGTCGTCGGAGTTTCGCAAGTTAATAATCCAATTTCATCCGATTGATGAGACGCAACTCTCCGAATAGGTATAACTTCTATTTTCTTCCCATTAGTCATGTCTTTTTTCAGAATTCCAAATTTGATGTCATGACCTTCGCTTCGAAATTCCCAACTGAATACAAAAATATGAATTGAAAGAAAGAGACTTTATCTTCCGATATGTTTATTGTAAAATATTTACCTTAAAATGGAACCCTCTTCGGGTGCAGAAATATCGAATTCTAATTTTCCTCCTTTCCGAACGACGACGGTAGTATAATCCTCGTTTAGCTTATCCATATTGTTGACGTACATCTCTTTAGATATCTTACCACCTTGACAGATCTAATAACAATTTTAATTATTATTTTTCGAAATAATATATGCACGTTTTATATTTAAGGCTCCTGTAATATTGTATATAAAGAAAACTCTTGCAAACTATATTAAAATGTATTTTTAAATATATTTTGAAAGAATTTCATTATGTGGTTTCTCGCTTTTGACATCATCTAAAGATCTGTGATAAATGGTCAAAAGCTTTAAAGAAAACCAAGTATTCTCTTAAAAAATATGCATAATGAATGCATCTTAAAAAATATGAATAATGCATCTTATAAAGTAAGATGCAAGAGTTTGCAATAAAAAGCCGAATTCTTCGATGAGATTTATAGTTTTTTTAAACAAAAATTTTTGAAGAGGTATTAATTTTAAATACTATATTAACATTTAAGAAGTAATTGAACTTATTACAAAATTTAAAATATTCTATCGAAGTTTGCATTTCAACGGCTATTTTGTATTGTGTGCGTAATTTTGAAAGCGATTTAATTAAAATACTTTTGAAGTATATTTCGGGTTGCCATCTGGATCTGTTAGTATTCCACCATAATGGGCAGGTAGTTGATCCTTCGGTATGAGTTTAAGAAGTGCTGCTTTCCATTTCGACGGCTCGGCTTTGTAGATTTGTATTTTTGACAAAGTATAGTCGTCCATAAATTTCTTAATAAGAGTAAAAGCGAAAGCAAAGACTCTTGGAGCTGCAACAATGCATACACTAATAGGTTCTTTTTCTGTTTCTAAAAATCTTCTAAATAAGCCAATTGTAAACAATTCATCCTGAACAAAATTTTTGAAGAATTATTTCAAAAAAGTTGTTCACATGCTTCTGTGAACTTTTATATAGTAATAATAATAATAATAATAATTTTTATCTTATATGCTATCTTATTGTCAAATGAGTCAGCATATCATTTTCAACGAAATTCGGAAGGATTATAAAACAAGGGAATAATAAGAAGAAATAAATGAATAAGGATTAATATTTCATTTCGTATTCATAGTCAGGCCTTACATTTAAGGCTTCCTTAAATTTATTTTCAGATGCGCTCTAAGAATTATTTCATTGGCTACTGAGCATCTAAAGATAAATTAAGGAAGCCTTAAGTATCTGACTATGAATACGGGCAATTGAATCGGTCATCGGATAATAGCGATAGTTTACAAGCCATTCAAACTATTTGATCTGGAAGAGGAATGAAATTGTAAAAATTTCTAAAATTATCTAAAATTAATACGCATCTTCCATGCATAATGTATCATACTGTAACTCATTGATGATCCAAGTGGCTTAAAAATGTATATTACACAACATGACACAACGTTGAAACATATTTTTCATATTTTATAAGCAGTCTTTTTTTTTAAAAAGGAACAAATAAATTTAATAATAAAAGAATTTTCAATCACAAATAAAAAAGAAAATTGATAATGAACAATAATGCGACGCAGTTATTAGTGCATAAGTAATATATACCTGTTTTGTTTTACTCTAAAGATGATCTGAAGCGGAACCAACGTCTGTCACTTCAATTATGATATATGTACACTCACCGACTAAAAGATCGTAACAGATTTTTTTCTATGGTTTTTGGAATGCAGTCTACTCACCGAGCGATTGGTTTTTATTTACGAATCCATAAGTAAGAACAATCGCTTGGTGAGCAGACTGTATTTCGAAATTTATTTAAAAAAAAAGGGTTGCAATCTTTTAGCCGGTGAATGTACGCCCAAGGACTTCGATTCTTTCCTTCGAAAATTTTCACAAATTGAGAAATGACTACTTTTCTACATTAATGCTTATAATCCGTGCGTGATTAATTTATGACACGACTAAACCTTCGTCCGCT